CTCCTATGTGGGCACTGTGTCTTCTACCAGATGTGCAACCCTCGCAGATGTGTGGGGCCCTCTTTCCCTGCTATGCCAGGCCTTGCTCTTTTTCACACCCTACAGAAGTGGGGGAACTGGGGGCAATGTTTCTCTGAGCTCTGTCCTGGGCTGCATTACAGTAGGGAAGGGGTTAATTTTCAGTAGGTGACTCACCGGTGGGAAGAGGAGGGGGCAGCAGTGGGGAGATAGTGGGCCACATTGATTTCAGCCTTGATTTCTGCCTCACATTGCAGTCCCTGGGGCAGTGAGGTAATGGAGGGTCTGAGTCTGGGGCTGCATAGGGAGGAGGGGGCAGTCACCTAATAGTCCCTCCAGTGGCCCCCTCCAGGCTCACAGCCAAGTGTCTGGCCCTGCAGTCTCTGGAGGTCAGAGGGCTATGGACGTTCCCTTCCCCTCTGGGCCCAGATTACTGGTTTCTGTACCCTTTCCATGCCTTCGGCTCTATCAGTGGATGGAACAGGCTGGGAAAGGGATTTGTTTGTGCTTGTCGCTGACTCCACCTGTGTAGGAGCCCACTCTTTGTCCATCAGAGGTTGTGCAACTTTTAAAAGCTGCCCGGGTGTGACCCCAGGCCTCTGCCTGTACTGGATGTGACCCTAGGGCCCATCTTGAGTGATCCAGAGCCTCTGCCTCTCTCCCTGGTGGACTCCAGACTCTTGCATATGTCTCTGTGGGTACTCTCTGGCTTTTCTGTAGTTCTCTTTGTATCCTTGTCTGACCATATTCCTGGAGGTCTGGGAGTGTCTGCCTGGGTCCACCCCAAGGTTCAATTTTCAGTAGTGGAAAGAGCAGCTGAGTTGGAGCACTGGGCTGTTAGGTTCTGGAGGGATGATCTTGCACAATTTATTCAGTTTCTCTGAGCCTCATTTTCTTGTCTGAACAATGGGCATAATAAAGTGTACCTCCCTAGTGGATGTGAGGATTCAACAAGCAGTATAATACATTCAAGCTCCTAGCACACTGAAGCCCCAGTGTTCATTTCCTTTCTTTCTCCTGGCCCCTTTCTGGAAGGGGTAGCTCCCAGCCTAGAGTGGTAGGGCCAGCCCATGGTGGTGCTCTGTGCCCCCACCCCTCTTGCCTCCCACTGCCTTACTGTGAGGTGGAGGGTCCCAGATGGCTGCTAAGTGTCAGGCCAGTGAGTGACCATGGTGCTCTGTATCCCTGGGGGGCCAGGGTACTGAAGTAGTGCTTACTGGGCTAAGTTTAGGTAGCGTGTGGGGGTCAGTACAATGGCATCTGTGAGAGTTAGCCTGTATTGGGGACGGGAGTTGCCAGGAAGGCCACATGAGGGTGTGTGAAGATGGAAGAGTGTGTGTGGTTGTGTGGGAGGGATGTGGGGTGTGTGTGTGTGTGTGTGTGTGTGTGTGTGTGTGTGTGTGTGAGATGGACAAGCAGCACTTGTGATGAGATGTGTGAGATAATGCTGCCTGTTTGATATGTTTGTATGATGATTCATGTGGGCTGGCAATGAGAATATGCGTTGGTGAAGCACGTATGACAAGGCGTGTATGAAATGGGTGATATGGAGGATGGGTGAGAACGAGTGTATGATGATGGGTGGGGAGTGATGGACCAGGAGTGTGGGAGGTCGTATGACATGTGAGCAGGTGTTCAAGGTATGTGACTTCGTGTGTGACAGTTTGAGTGTAAGGCCAAGGGTACATGTTACCGTGGGATGTGTATGAAATAATGGGTGTGGCAGGAAAACTGTCTATGAAAGGGTGTGTGTGTGTGTGTTTGTGTGTGTGTGTGTGTGTGGTGGGGGAAGAGTCTGCTGGTGTTGAGTTGGTAAGGGCTCCCCGTGGCTCGCGTGCCTACCGCGCAGTTCTTCTGCCCTGCGGAGCCGTGCGCGCTCAGGCGGGCGTGAGGGAGGGGGGGGGCCAAGCCGCGCGTGAACGTGTTCTTCGCGTGGACTGGACACACGTAGCACCACACACAACCCCGGAGCCTCCGCAGCGCGGTGCCGCGAACCGCCCCCCCTGGCTCGCTGCCTTTACTGCAGTGCGCCCTCCCTGCCACCCTCCTCCCGCGGTCCCGCCCCGGGCCGGCTTGGGGCCAACCGGATCCCGCCCCGCCCTTTCCTTATTTGCATATGACTGACGTTCCCCCGGGGCGGCCAATGGGGGCGGGCGCGGCGGGGCCTGACCCGCGCGCGGCGGCGGCAGCCAATGGGCTCACGCGCGGGGGGGCCGGGCTTGCGCGGAAGGCCGCGGGGGAAGCGGGGAAGGGGCGGGAGGAGGTGCGGCGGGGGGAGGGGAGCGCGTAGTAGTGGCGGGGCGGGGAGGCGGCGGTGGCTCTGCGCGGGGCTCGCTTGGAGCGCACGGACGCACGCACGCTGGTCCGTCTGGCCCCTCGGAGCCGAAGGTCGACCCGGCGCTGAGCCGCGGGCCCGGAGCCCGGAAAGGCGGGGCGGCAGCACCGGCAGCCGGAGCGCTCGGGGCCAGAGCCGTTACCCGCCGGAGCTGCGAGGGAGGGAGGGAGCGAGCCAGCGAGAGGAGAAGGGAGGGGGCCACCCCCGCGCACGCGCGCCGCGCCCCGCCCCGCCTGCCCCGCCCGCCGGGCACCAAGCGGGAGGAGGGAGAGGGAGGGGGCGGCGCCGATGGCCCCTGTGCCGCGCGCCCCGTGACGGCCCCCGCGCGCGCCGGGGGGCGGGGCGGGGCCGGCGCGCTCTGACCTCCCCCGCCCCCCGGGCGGCGGGAGGCAGGCGGCGCTGTGCGCAGGCGCGCCCGGCAGAGACCCCCCCCCCCGAGTGGGGCGGCCGGAGGGGGGCGGCGGGGGGGGCATGCGGCGACGGCCTCCAGCTCCCCCCGGGCCCGAGCGGCGACGGCCGAGGAGCCGGCGGCGGGCGGAGTGGCGGCGGCCGCTGAGGAGGCGCGAGCCCCGGCCGGGCCCCCCCGCGCCGGACCATGTACTCAGCCCACAGGCCCCTGGTGCCCGCGTCCGGCGCGGCCTCCCGTGGCCTCGGCATGTTCGGTCAGTAGAGCCTGGGCCCTGGGACTGCAGGGGTCAGGGTGTCGGGGTGCTAAGTGCGGCGTAATGGTGATAGGGGTATATAGTACGAGAGTCATAGAGGCGGAGTACAGGGGTGACGGGAAAGTTACAGAGCTCAGCTGGGCCAAGCGGTTAGTGTTGGCAGGTGGGAGTGTAGCGAGAGTGATGGGAGTGAGGCGAGGGGAGTAGCTGGGGACAGCTGTGGTGTTTGGGTAATGGGGTGGAACGGTCCGTTGTCATTGGAGGTGAGGGGTGCAGAGTAACTGGGTTGGGAGCGTGGATCAGGATAGGGGCAGCATGAGACCTGCTGGTCTTAGGTGTGGAAGAGAGGGGGAAGGGAATGTGATGGAGTAGTGGGGCTAAGAACAGGGTTTGGGAAGTGAGTGAGACACTGCTTGCTTAGAGCAGAGTGATGGGCTGGAGTGTGTGTGGTGTGCTTTGCAGAGGCAGAAGGAGGGACCCAAGAACCTGGACCACAGTACACTGAAGAGGACTTGAGGGGCAGGACTAAAGGACTCTTCCTCCATTGTCTGCTGGTCCCCTTCTTCCCCACCTAGCAGATGAGGAGGCCCAATGAGAAAGATCTTGGTGAAGAGAGGGACAGGTCAAGGTCCTTGGGGTTGGAGGGCCGAGCAGGCTTTTGTGGTCCCCAGTGCCCCAGGGATTGGGGACAGGGTTCTTAGAGCGTCTTGAGACCCCCTCCAGTGTTGGCTTCCTTATCCTTCTTCTGTTGACTTGACGTCTACTTTTTCTTTTGTCAGCCCATTGCAGAATGAGGTCTTACGGCTAGCGTCTCCTATAGAGCTCTCTTAGTCCAGGCTTTTGAAGGCATAGAGGGGTCATCCCAGGTCAGATTGATCCGGATCAGGGGGAGGCCTGGAATGATGGAGACCAAGGCTAGGGCGTTTCCCTTCTCTCTTCATCGTCTTCCCTCGCAGGGGCCTCCTCAGCTGGTTCCACTTCCCCCAGGGAGCCAGCAGTGAGAGGGCAGCCCACTCCTAACCTAGGCCTGCTCCAGGAGTCCTGCCAGGGATGGGTCCCAGCCCAGGGCTTAACCCTGCTACCACCCAGCTCCTGGGGCAGAAGGTGGGACCCCTGGAATTGGCCTTCTGGGAGGGAAGTGGTTTCCTGTGAATATTCTCAAGAAAACACCTGGCACTTTTGTCTTCTTTGGGCACAGACTTGTAACAGTTCTCTTGCCTGCCTCATTGTCTGTGCCTTTTTTTCCGAGGGGTTTACCACACCCTCCCCTTTTTGGGCAAAGAGGCTGGATGCTGCACCCAGGATAAGCTCAGAGCTTGAGAGGGAGGGGGGCTGGGAGACCTCTTTGTGGGCAGTAGATTCTGTTAAGGGACGGGGGAGACACTGGAGCCACCTGTGCTCAGCCCGGGAAAGGCAGGTCTGGCTCCTTGGGGTTTGTGGTATGGGGAGGGAGGCAAGGAGAAAGACTTAAGACTCCACACCTTGTGGGTGATGGAGAGGGAAGAGAAGGGGAAACGAAGCATGGTCTCCTCAAGAGAGATAAAGGGAGTAGGAGGTGAAGATGAGGGGCTATGTCAGTTAGGGTGCTGGGAATGTGGCATGACTGGGGAGAGTTCCTAGCCCTGCTCAGGTTTTGGGGCCTTGGGAGTATGAGATGGCAGTTGAACATGGCCTGGTTTGTGACAGGAGCCAGTCATTCCTCTGGCCTGGTCCCTGGTGGCAGGGCTGGTGGAGGTGGGGGAGGGAATGGGGCGTGAGGCCTATTTCCCTTCCTAGCTTCTGTTTTCTTTCGTGTAAACCTCGGAATCGTACAGGGAGGAGTTTTTCCTGAGTGATGTTGCACGCACGAGCCCACGAGGCTCTGGGATAGTGGAAGGGGGTGTGAAGGAGGCGTGGAGCCACCTCATCCAGGGTGGAAAAGAGCTTGAGTTGGGGTTCAAGGCCAAGGTTTCCTGCTGCACAGCTTAGCTGGCTTCTTCCCACAGTGTGGACAAATGTGGAGCCTCGCTCTGTTGCCGTGTTCCCCTGGCACTCCTTAGTCCCTTTTCTGGCCCCCAGCCAGCCCGACCCCTCTGTGCAGCCAAGTGAGGCCCAGCAGCCTGCCAGCCACCCAGTGGCCTCCACCCAGAGCAAAGGTGAGGAGTGGGGGGCTGCAGAACACATGGGAATAGCATCCAGGGAGCTCAAGAGCCCTCTGACTTGCCTCTCTGCCCCCAGAACCTGCTGAGTCGGCGGCTGTCGCTCATGAGCAGCCACCAGGTGGGACAGGGAATGCTGATCCTGGGCGGCCCCCTGGAGCCACCTGCCCTGAGAGCCCAGGGCCCGGACCCCCGCACACTTTGGGGGTGGTGGAACCTGGAAAGGGTCCCCCTCCCACCACTGAGGAGGAGGCCCCTGGCCCTCCAGGAGAGCCCCGGCTGGACAGTGAGACGGAGAGTGACCATGATGATGCGTGAGTGCCACGAGGCTTGGGAAGTGGGAGGGGATGGTGACCAGAGATGGGGCCCTCACTGTCCCTGCCACTCCCGCCACAGCTTCCTCTCCATCATGTCTCCCGAGATCCAGTTGCCCCTGCCACCCGGGAAACGCCGGACCCAGTCCCTCAGTGCCCTGCCAAAGGAACGAGACTCCTCTTCGGAGAAGGATGGACGCAGCCCCAACAAGGTGCCTCACCTCTGTACCTGTCCCCAGCTTGCCCTCTGGCTGCCCAAGCCTGTTTCGTGGTTCTAACATCCCACTTGGGCCTCTGTGTGCTGCAGCGGGAGAAGGACCATATTCGGCGGCCCATGAACGCCTTCATGATCTTCAGCAAGCGGCACCGGGCCCTGGTCCACCAGCGTCACCCCAACCAGGACAACCGGACCGTCAGCAAGATTCTGGGCGAGTGGTGGTATGCCCTGGGGCCCAAGGAGAAGCAGAAGTACCATGACCTGGCCTTCCAGGTAATGCCTCTTCCTCTTGGTTCCTCCCCAGCTTCCTCTGGTGGGGTAAGTGAGTGGAGGATCCCTCCTCTCTCTCCTGCCAGGTGAAAGAGGCCCACTTTAAGGCTCACCCAGACTGGAAGTGGTGCAACAAGGACCGGAAGAAGTCCAGCTCAGAGGCCAAGCCTGCGAGCCTGGGGCTAGCAGGAGGACACAAGGAGACTCGGGAGCGGAGCATGTCTGAGACGGGGACTGCCGCTGCCCCTGGAGGTTGGTTGGCTCCTTGGTTGACTTGCCCTGCCCCCTCCCTCCGTGAGAGGTGCCAGCTACCCCCTTGTTAGCTCAGCCCCTGCACCAGAACCCTATGTGCTGTCATTTCATTTGAAGACCCTTACCCATAAGGGAACTGGTAGTTTTCTCATATAAAAGAGTCAGGGAGGTTCAGACAGATAGAGTTTCCAGACAGTCATTTCGTTATCAGTTGTCATTTATTGAGCATTTATTACATGCCAGGCACCAAGGGGAGTATAAGCTCTATTTCTGAAAGTCATACCCTCGTTTTCCAGATGAGAAGACGGACTCAGGGTGCCTGGGGGGCTCAGTTAAGCAGCTGCCTTCGGCTCAGGTCATGATCCCAGGGTCCTGGGATGGAGCCCCACATTGGGCTCCGTCCTCAGTGGGGAGCCTGCATCTCCCTCCCTGTGTGCCTGCGGCTCGTCCTGCTTGTGTTGTCTCTGACAGATAAAGTCTTAAAAAAAAAAAAGAAAGAAAGAAAGTGAGACTTAGGCAGAGTTACTTGTTGGAATTTGTAGAAGACTAGTAAATGGTAGAGCCAAAGCTTAAACCCCAGTTTGGTAGGTTTCCAGAACCATAGTTGGAAGCCCCTTGTTGGATGCTTTTGCTGACAGAGTGTCTCGCTTGCATAGCACTATTCTGAGGCACGTTTTTGGAGTGACCTGTGGGTTCGGGCCTGCAGTTCTCTGAAGGTGGGGTTGCTTCCTCTCTGAGATATGGGGATGGAGACTCAGGTCCATGGTTATTAGCAAGCGAGCATCACACTGCCTTCAGAGAAGGCCTGCTTCCTGAGGAGCAATCCATTAGAAAATGCCAGGCTGGTGGCTCCCAGGTAGCCCAGGATTTTCAAACTTCTTTTGCTCAGGACCTAGAGATATCTGTGGACAGCTTGGGTGCCGCTAAAAGACTTCTTGACTCTGTGACACCTCTCTCCTTATGTTGTGCAGTGTCCTCGGAGCTTCTCTCCGTCGCAGCCCAGACACTCCTGAGCTCGGATACCAAGGCTCCAGGGAGTGGTTCCTGTGGGACAGAGCGTCTGCACACAGTGGGGGGACCTGGCTCGGCCCGGCCCCGAGCCTTCTCCCACAGTGGGGTCCACAGCCTGGATGGTGGGGAAGTAGATAGCCAGGCACTACAGGAACTGACTCAGGTCTGGGGGCAGGGGAGCTGGGCAGGGAGGGCTGCCCCCAGGTGATGGCCCCCACTGAACTCTCCTGGTGCCCGCCCTGCAGATGGTGTCCGGCCCCGCATCCTATTCTGGTCCAAAGCCTTCCACCCAGTATGGGGCTCCAGGCCCCTTCTCAGCCTCTGGTGAGGGAGGTGCCCTGGCGGCTGGCGGGCGACCCCCGCTGCTGCCCACCCGGGCCTCCCGTTCCCAGCGTGCAGCCAGTGAGGACATGACCAGTGACGAGGAACGCATGGTCATCTGTGAGGAGGAGGGAGACGATGATGTCATTGGTGAGCAGTTGCAGGGCCTAGAATCCTGCCCAGAGAACAACAGGCTAAGGTTTGGGGAGTGGGCAAAGAGTTGATCTAGGTCTCAGGCTCTTCTTCTTTCTTGTCTTGCGTGTTTGTTTATGACTGCAGGCATGTTCAGCTCAGGCCCAGCCCTGCCCTTGGGAAGCTCCTGGCCAGGCAGGAAACCAGGAGGACAGGGGCGTGGATGGTCAGGCCATGGGGCACAGTGTTAGGTGGTGGTACCTGCATGCTCTTAGGCTCCCCCGGTGGGCAGGTGGGCACACCCTAGGCGGAGGAACAGCGTTCTTGGACAATAGTTACTGCTGGCAAAAGGGGTTGAGGCCAGGGCCTGGGCTCCCTGCTGTCCCTCCTGGACAGTCTTACACCCAGCCCTTCTGCCAATACTCTTCTCTCCCTCAGCTGATGACGGCTTCGGCGCCACTGACATTGACCTCAAGTGCAAGGAGCGGGTGACTGACAGCGAGAGCGGAGACAGCTCTGGGGAGGACCCAGAGGGCAGCAAGGTGAGAGCTGGGGAATTGGCACTATCTTGTCATGGTCCTAGGAAGGGGAGATGTGTGCTCTTGTGTGCATCACTACAGAGAGATTAAGGCCCAAAGAGGGCAAGCTCCTCACCCCATGGTGAATTGGGTCACAGACTGGGTGAACTACTGAGGCCTTCAGCTGGCCTCGATGTCAGGCGGGAGAGGGTTGGTCAGGTTGTGCCTGTCGGGGCTCCCTTGATGTGGTCGTGTCCCCTCCTTCCACCTAGGGTTTTGGCCGGAAGGTGTTCTCGCCTGTGATTCGTTCCTCCTTTACCCACTGCCGCCCACCTTTGGACCCTGAGCCCCCAGGGCCCCCGGATCCATCACCTCCAGCCTTTGGCAAAGGCTATGGGCCCACCCCGTCGTCGTCCTCGTCCTCACCTGCCTCCTCCTCAGCCTCAGCCGCCACCTCCTTCCCACTGGGCTCAGGGACCTTCAAGGCCCAGGAGTCAGGTCAGGGCAGCACAGCAGGCCCACTACGACCCCCACCTCCTGGGGCTGGGGGCCCAGGGACACCTTCCAAGGCCACCCGGTTCCTCCCATCGGATCCTGCCGCCTTCCGGCGCAAGAGACCTGAAAGTGTGGGAGGCCTGGAGCCACCAGGCCCCTCGGTCATTGCAGCACCTCCTGGCGGGGGAGGAAGTGTCCTGCAGACGCTGGTCCTGCCCCCAAATAAGGAGGAACGGGAAGGCAGCGGAACCCGCATGCCCTCGGCCCCAGCCCCGTCACTGGCCTATGGGGCTCCGGCAGCCCCCTTGTCCCGCCCAGCTGCTACCATGGTCACCAATGTGGTGCGGCCTGTCAGTAGCACTCCTGTGCCCATCGCCTCTAAGCCCTTCCCCACCTCTGGCCGGGCTGAGGCATCTCCAAATGACACCATTGGTGCCAGGACTGAGCTGGTCACGGGGTCCCGGGCGCCAGGGAGCTCCCCGCTGGGTGTAAGCTTAGTGTACTCGGACAAGAAGTCGGCAGCCTCTTCGCCGGCCCCGCATCTGGTGGCTGGGCCCCTCCTCGGTACCGTGGGAAAGGCCCCTGCCACAGTCACCAACCTGCTGGTGGGCACACCGGGTTATGGGGCCCCAGCGCCCCCTGCTGTTCAGTTCATAGCCCAGGGGGCCCCTGGCAGTGGAGCCACCACAGGCTCTGGAGCAGGTGCTGGGAGTGGCCCCAATGGGCCAGTGCCCCTGGGCATCTTGCAGCCAGGCACCTTGGGCAAGGCTGGGGGAATCACCCAGGTGCAGTACATCCTGCCCACGCTGCCCCAGCAGCTTCAGGTGGCGCCTGCCCCGACACCAGCCCCTGGGACCAAGGCAGCAGCTCCTGGCGGCCCCGCACCAACCACCAGCATCCGTTTCACCCTCCCCCCGGGCACCTCCACCAACGGCAAAGTTCTGGCAGCCACCGCACCCACCCCTGGCATCCCCATCCTGCAGTCCGTACCCTCTGCCCCACCCCCCAAAGGTGAGGCTTGGGCTGAGTGGGGAAGGAGAGGGGCCCCAGGCCTGTGTAGCTCTCTGGCAACTTCTCTCTCCCTTTGCAGCCCAGTCGGTGTCTCCTGTACAGGCTCCGCCCCCGGGTGGCTCAGCCCAGCTTCTGCCCGGGAAGGTACTGGTGCCCCTGGCGGCCCCTAGCATGTCCGTGCGGGCTGGAGGGGCTGGCCAGCCACTGCCCCTGGTGAGCCCGCCTTTCTCAGTACCTGTGCAGAACGGGGCCCAGCCACCCAGCAAGGTAAGGGCATCCTGGCTCCTCCTGTTCCTGTCCCCTCCCCTCCTGCGTGTTGGTTTCTGTGCCATGGTGTCTGTGTCTTTCCTTTGATCTCTCGTGCTTTTTTCCTTTCTTTCTTTTTTTCTTTTTTTCTTTTTTTCTTTCTTGAACTGTCTCTAGGACCGTGAGTGCGTTTTTATGCGTCCTTCGATGTCTGTGTGCATCTCAATTCTGCTCTCAGTGTCTGCACCTTGTTCCTTTGTGTTTCACATGCCTTGCTGTTTTCTTTGTTCCTTTCTGTCTTACTTCTAAAATTTGTGTTCTCTGTCTTTGTTGAGACCCACCTTTCTAGGTCTGGGTCACCCCCCCACCCCATTCCCAAGTCCCCAGCTCACCCCAGCCTGTGGGTGCCCTTGCCCACAGATCATCCAGCTGACTCCGGTGCCCGTGAGCACACCCAGTGGCCTGGTGCCGCCCCTCAGCCCAGCCACACTCTCCGGACCCACCTCCCAGCCTCAGAAGGTCCTGCTGCCCTCCTCTACCAGGTAATGGCAGCTGAGCCCTCACCTGGAGGCCAGGCCAGAGAAGGGTCTGGTGGGGGTGGGCAGCTCACCTCACTCCTCCCCCTTCCTCTCCTTGCGGCAGAATCACCTACGTGCAGTCGGCGGGTGGGCATGCCTTGCCCCTGGGCACCAGCCCTACGTCCAGCCAGGCTGGAACAGTCACCTCGTATGGGCCCACGAGCTCGGTAGCCCTAGGCTTCACCTCGCTGGGGCCCAGTGGACCCGCCTTTGTGCAGCCCCTGCTTTCAGGTGAGGGGCAGTGTGGCAGGCAGAGCTGGGGACCCAGGGTGGTGCAGAGGCGGCCCAGGCCCTAACTGGGGCTCCTGCCTCTCCTGTGTCTCCGTCCTTGCAGGCCAAGCTCCGTTGCTGGCTCCTGGCCAGGTGGGCGTGTCGCCAGTGCCCAGCCCCCAGCTGCCGCCAGCCTGCACAGCCCCCGGAGGTCCCGTCATCACTGCATTTTACCCCGGCAGCCCTGCACCCACCTCCTCAGCACCCCTAGCCCAGCCATCCCAGGCTCCCTCGGGTCTGGTCTACACCGTGGCCACTAGCACCACCCCACCTGCTGCCACCATCCTGCCAAAGGGCCCACCAGCCCCTGCCACTGCCACCCCGGCCCCTACCAGCCCTTTCCCTAATGCTGCAGGTGGGTGTTGGGCCAGCCCAGGGTGGGGTGGGTTGGGGGACTCAGGAGAAGGACTCCAGACAGGCCTGGCTCAGCAAATGCTTTTCTCCCCACCAACAGGCTCCATGACCTACAGCTTAGTGGCCCCCAAGGCCCAGCGGCCCACCCCCAAGGCCCCCCAGAAAGTGAAGGCGGCCATTGCCAGCATTCCCGTGGGTTCCTTCGAGGCAGGTGGTCCTGGGCGGTCAGGCCCTGCAGCCCGGCAGCCCTTGGAGCCTGGCCCAGCCCGGGAGCTCCCTACCCCTGAGTCTGAGCTTGAGGGGCAGCCTGCGACACCGGCCCCTCCACCACCCCCAGAGACCTGGGCTCCCATGGCCCGGAGCAGCCCCCCGCCTCCCCCACCTGCTGAGGAGCGGACAAGCAGCAAGGGCCCTGAGACTGTGGTGAGCGCTCAGCAGGCCCCAGGGGCTCCTGTTGCTGCCTGGCTCTGCGTGTCAGTCCATCATCTGCTTTTCTACTCCATTTCCGTTCCCTGCACACCTGTATGACCCATGTTCTTGTTTCCCCTGGGGCTGGGGGTGGGGGGTGCAGTGGAGCTGGGCCTCTTATGTTCCTTTTGCTTATCTGTATGACTGAGTCTTCTCCAAGACTCTACGTCTGGGTCAGTCAGCATCCCACCTCTTTGTTGTTCTGAGTTTTGCATCACTGAGTCTGAATCCAGTATTCTCCATCTCTCTGCTATCCCTACCCCAGGCCAGCAAATTCCCCAGCTCTTCATCTTCAGACTGGCGAGTCCCCGGGCTGGGTCTGGAGAGCCGTGGGGAGCCTCCCACCCCTCCCAGCCCAGCGCCAGCTCCGGTCTCAGCCCCCAGCGGCAGTGGCAGCAGCAGCAGCGAGGGCAGCAGTGGGAGGGCAGCCGGGGACACCCCTGAGCGCAAGGAGGCCGCTGGTACCGGCAAGAAGGTGAAGGTGCGGCCCCCGCCCCTGAAGAAGACCTTTGACTCTGTGGACAAGTGAGCATGGGCTGGGGTCTGTGGCAGCGTGTGTGGGGCTGGCAAGAGAGGGGGGCAGCTGCAGCCTGGGACGGTGGAGGTGACCCTGCTGGCTCTCCAGCAGGGTCCTGTCAGAGGTGGACTTCGAAGAGCGCTTTGCTGAGCTGCCTGAGTTCCGGCCTGAGGAGGTGCTGCCTTCGCCCACCCTGCAGTCTCTGGCCACCTCGCCCCGGGCCATCCTGGGCTCCTACCGCAAGAAGAGGAAGAACTCCACCGGTAGGCGAGTGTGGGCCACCAGGGGAAGGCGGGGGACAGATGGGGGCCACCTCCGCTGAGCCTGCTTCTGTTGGACCAGACCTGGACTCGGCCCCCGAGGACCCCACCTCGCCCAAGCGCAAGATGAGGAGACGCTCCAGCTGCAGCTCAGAGCCCAACACCCCCAAGAGTGCCAAGTGTGAGGGGGACATCTTCACCTTCGACCGTACAGGTGCCGGCACCGAGGCAGGCGGAGCTGTGGGTGACCCAGCACCTGCAGGAAGGGTGGGGTCTTGGAGATGAGGTTACAGAGGAGAGGTGGGGTGGGTGTCGCTTAGAGGAAGGATGGCGGGTCCAGGATGGATTGGGGGGGTTCTGGAGTCTGATAGGGTCCAGAGGCAGGTGCCCTCTCTGAACTCTGCTGTGGAATAGAATTTGGTGAGGGCTGGGTGGACACTTCGGGCGGGGGCAGGGGCCTGCTGCCGCAGTCCCCAAGACCCTGCTGCTTGCTCCACTCCCAGGTACGGAAGCGGAGGATGTGCTCGGGGAGCTGGAATACGAGAAGGTGCCATACTCTTCCCTGCGGCGTACCCTGGACCAGCGTCGGGCCCTGGTCATGCAGCTCTTCCAGGACCATGGCTTCTTCCCATCAGGTGAGCGTGGCTCTGAGTCTTGGCGGGCACTTGCAGCGGTCCTGCCTGCTCCTCTCACCCTGGCCTCCCCACCCCCCACTGTCCTTCTGTCCCCAGCCCAGGCCACGGCAGCTTTCCAGGCCCGCTACGCAGACATCTTCCCCTCCAAGGTGTGCCTGCAGTTGAAGATCCGTGAGGTGCGCCAGAAGATCATGCAGGCGGCCACTCCCACGGAGCAGCCCCCTGGAGCTGAGGCCCCCCTTCCTGGACCGCCCCCCACTGGCACTGCTGCTGCCCCTGTCCCCACTCCCAGCCCTGCTGGGGGCCCTGACCCCACCTCACCTGGCTCGGACTCTGGCACAGCTCCAGCTGCCCCGCCACTGCCTCCGCCTCCGGAGCCAGGTCCCGGACAGCCTGGCTGGGAGGGCCCCCCCCAGCCGTCCCCCCCGCCCCCTGGCCCCTCCACAGCTGCCACAGGCAGGTGAGGGCTCCGAGAAGACCCCAGGACCCACAGTACGCCCCTCAGGACATGGACAGTATGTAGGTGGCAGGAATCCGGGGTGGGGGAGGGCAGGATGGTTCCCTCCTCCCCAATAAAGCCATTTCGTCCTTTTTAGTTTTGGGCGGAATGAGGCCTGCTCCTCTTGTCTATCCCCCTCCCCCCACAGCTTTCTCCCTGTGATGGGGGGCAGCTGAGGGGAAGCAGGGGCACAGTCTCCCTCCACCGAGCCCCTGTATATAACCTGGAGTGTGTTACCTTCAGACCTTTTCACTTGTACTTTATGCAAAATGGCTCATGTGAGGGCTACAAGCTGGTGGGTAGTGTGGGCCTTGGGCCACAGGGAGGTGCCTGTGGAGTAGGGGGAGTTCATGCACCCCTTTTTTCCCCAGAGGGGCTGGACTCAGGTTAGTTTGGGGTGGGGGCTCCTGCACTTTGCCACAGGCATGGGGAGGGTTCTCTCCCCACCCCCTCTGCCCTCCCAACTTGGGTTGTACTTTCTAAGAAGGTGATTCCCCCTACCCTTGTCCCTATCCCCAGAACAAAACATGTTGATCATGTGCAATATTTCTTACTGTGCCGAGAAGCCGAAATGACCGAAATTAAAGCTGTTTAACACACCTGTGTGGCTGCCCACTCTACAGGGAGAAGGGGTGTGGGTCGTGCTGGTCCTGCCTCCAGATGGGCAAGAAGCTATACACTAGCTCTCTGCTCCCCCAACACACCCCTCACCGCAGGGAGCAATGCCAGGTCGTACCCTGTGGGCCGAGGACCCCGGCTCACTGTGGACTGAGCAGCCTCTCTGGCCCTGGTGCTTGGGGGTCACTGTGGCTACTCTGCGTCTTACGCAGACATCTGACAGGAGGGGGTCTGGAGGTGTGAGATGAAGCTCTACAAGGTGGGCAGTTCACCCTGGAAGCCGCAGCTGGACCTGGGGCAGGGTACAGTGCTGTTCTCAGTGCCTCTTGCTGCCCCCACATGGCCCGAGCCAGCACTGCAGCCAGGCAGCAGGAGCCTCTCTGGGGCTATACCCTGCAGGTCCAGCCTGTGGACTGTGCCTCCCTGGAGAGATGAATGCCCATGCCCTTTGTGGAGGGAGGGATACCTGCGATGGGGGAGGTCAGAAAACTTCTGCAGGAAGTGGCATCTAAGCTAAGACCAGAGCATCAGAAGTTCCAGCCTGGGGGAGATCTGCTGTAAAGAGGGGAGGACAGCTTTGGCTGGGCTTTGCTGGGTCACTAGGTTTCCAGAATTCTTACTTAACCTTGACCGTATAGGGTAGAGTGGGCAAACTGACTTCACCCAGTGTGTTACTGATGGGTGGGGCCTGCGTTTAGTGTTGCTGGTGGTAGAAACCTGCCAGATTCCACAAGAACCAGAGGGCCTGGATGGATCCGCCGATCCCTGCTTTGGGCGGAAACAGAACACCCTCCGGAGCTCCAGGGTCACAGAGGTCGAGGTGGAGGGACCTAGAAAGGCTGTCCCATAAAGCAAGAAACGGGAGACTAAGGAACGAAAATTTAATATCGGGGAGGGAGAATGCTTAGGGTGCGGCCTCTGGCAGGGGAACCCCCTGGCCCTGGTCTTGGGCCAGCAGACGCAGAAGCAGGGAGTGCAGGGATCGACAGACAGGTGTGTAGCCCAGGCGGCTCAGGTGCAGGTAATCGTACATGTCATGGTGACTTATGGTACCGTCTGAGTGCACAAAGCCGGGGTCGGCATCCAGGAAGTGGGCCCGTGGGTGGCCAGCCAGTGCTGCTCGGACCAGCTCGTTCACCCGTCGGTTTTTCTCACGAAGTGGGTTAGGGTGCTGGCCCCTCGGAAGCAGGCCCTGAGGAAGGGCACCAAGAGTCGTAAGGAGACATCCTACTGGCATCTGTGCTCTGGGCCAAACAGTTCACCCTCACCACGGAGTCCCCAGCTGTGCAATACACTAGTGACGGGAAAGTGGGGGATTGGCGGGATGATTCCCAATATTGCGTCTGAGACCCCAATTCAGCAAGAACCTTTTGGGTGTTTGTATCTTTTCCAAGTATCAATCCTAAAAATATCAACAGCGTGGCAAAGGGTCAGTCCCTCTTTCTGAGGAGGAAAGGTTCGGCTAGAAGTGATGGAGCCTGGATTTGCCCTGGGAATGTCTGACAACTTCTGGCTAATTGTTTTCGGTTTGGCAACACCCCCAGAACCTTCAGCAGTTTCTTGAACAAAAGAGGCTAACTGGTCCCTGAACGTGACCTTAACTGCAGCTGCTGGGTCTCTAGCAAGCTTTGATGTGAGCTTCTGCATGAAAGTCACTGCTCTGCCGCCCTGCTCCCCAGAACCAGCTTCGGTTGCACCTGAGGGCGTCCCGGGCCACTGCCATTCTCTCTTCCCTGACACCAGCCCCCCCCAACCTCTCACCAGCACCACGACGCGGGCCTGGGGCTGCCGCTGGTTCACCAGTTCCACAATGGCCTTGATGCCACCAGTCACTTGCTCTGCTGTGTGCCCATGGTTGTTGGTACCCACCCAGACCACCACAATCTGTGGAAAGAGAGGCAGGAAGCAGAGGTAAAGGGGGAGGCTTATAGGGGGCTTTCGCTGCCCACCCAAGCTCTGCTCACCTTAGGTCGGATGTGTTCCAGCTCCCCATTCTCCAGCCGCCAAAGCACATGTTGCGTGCTATCACTGCCAATGCCAAAGTTCAGTGCGTGCAGAGGAGAAAAGAGTTCCCGCCAGATCTGTGGGCAAGAAGTGGTGTGGGCACAGGGGCGACAGCAGCAGAGACCACCGCCCTCTGTCCGAGTGTGCACCAAATTTCATTCAGCAAGGAAGAGCCGGCCCTGCCTTATGGAAGCAGTTTGGTCAAAACCTCACCTGATGCAAACTTAGTCTAGTCTCCCTTTCCTGGAGACTCATAGAAGCAAGACTCGCTTTATGGAAACCCATTCAGCTTGAGTCATGCACTGAACTACTAGCCTTACAGCCGATGAAAACCATTACAGTTTGACCTCACTTAGTGGAAAGGTAACACAACTGAGCCCCCTTTGTGGAGAGCTATTCCAGTCGACTTTCATTTCGCAGAAACACTAGGGCTTTGAGGATAACCATTCTTTGTGAATATCCATTAGGGCTGTGCACTCTCTTAAGCAAACAATAGAGTCTCACCTCAGGCAATCTTGCAAGAAAGCCTCCAACTGACACAGTTCCTTGTCGGTACAATGTTGCACCTTACAACAAGATTTTGGGTGTGGGATGCTGCCTGAGGCTATTTTGGGTACCTCATACTCCTTCTGGCCCCGCCTCTGATCCAGGTGTGTCTGTGAGCGCACAGGCCGGGGTGGGGCAGAGGGACCGGGACGAGTCTCACCTCGCACTGGTGCATTAGCTGGACCAACGAGTCCCCGATAAAGACGACTTCGGGTTCCTTATCTTTGCTGTCGGCCACGAACCGATGGTGCTATGGGGAGGTACAAGGGAGAGTCAGTGACACGCGCGCTTCTGGGCCCGCCTCGCTCCACTTCCTTAGGCAGCACCACCCGGATTGCCCGGTTTCCTAATCACGTACAGAGAGCGGCGCCAAACAGCTGCTCTCCCGAGGCCCCTCCCGGACTCCTGAGTACGCGGGCCGGGTCGCTCACCAGGGACATCCAGCGTCCGTCGCCCTGAACGTCCTGCACCGGCGTGGGCTTGCTGGCTGGGTTCTCCTCTCCGCTCATCTTGGCGCCGCAGCTCCTGCAGGATGGGCGAGCGGAGCCGACCCGGGAGAGTTGGCCGAGGAGCTCTGCCACGCCCACCCCTCCCTTCCCGGCAACAATGGACGGTCCCGACGCCCGCAGTCCAGCGAGGACAACGGCGGATCCCGGGCGCCGCCTCCTCTGCAGGAGCGGAAACCTTCACTTAGAAGGGGAGGTAGAATCGGGAGCCCATGCTTCCCCCGCGGCGGCCGTGCAGTGGACTCGTCCAGCGCTTCCCGCCCAGGCCACTCTTTCTCGGGCGGCGGCCGCTAGAGCACCCGGGCGCCTGGGGACAGTGGCGAGACCAGGCAGCACCCGTGGGGGAAGGGAGAAACCACCACACCTGCGTCAGGGGGAGGGGCGAGCTACCTGAAAGGCCGAGAATTGGCGGGGGGGGGGGGGTGGTGGAATCTAGACTCTTTCCTTGAGGGGAGAAACCGTTTGCTATAGGGCGAGAAATGTGCGGAAGGGATCACCAGCTGTGTGTGAGAGAGAAAGAGAGAGAGATCACCACCAGCTGTGTGTGTGTGTGAGAGATCACAGCTCTGTGTGTCTCATTCACGTGGTGGTGGGGGGAGGGGAGTGAGTGGACGAGTCCATTCCTGGATCCCTTGAGGGAGTGACTCGTACGCACCTGGCTAGGAGGGGACGCTCCCATTTTCTCTGATGTGGGGAGAAAAAAGGAAGATGGCAAAATGTGAAAAACAGAGCCTCACTTGTAAGGCTAAGGCACCACCACGGTTTTAGTGAGCTTATATGTTCGTGGCCCCATCCCAGACCCCCTCTCAAAAGCACCAGTTTTGTGGCATAAAATCTAAACTATGTATCTTTGCATTACATACACCACAGGTGCTGCAAAGAGGGTAGCAGAAGCTGCAGAAAGAGAAAGGAAACTAGAGATGCCACAAGGCCCAGGTCCAGCCTGGCGCCCCTCCCGCCCAGCTCATCTTGCAGATTCGTGGCCTCGGTTCCCCTCCCTAAACCCACAGGTGTGTCTGGGCTCTGAAACCTACATCCATAGCCAAAGCCACCTAAAGCCGCCCCCCCCCACACCCCATATTAATCTCAAGTCTTCCCAGCTCTTCCTGTTCTCAGGGACCAGGTTGGGGGGGGTCCCCAACCCCCCTAAACTTCCAGGTTATATTCCTGTAGCTCTACTCCCAGATGGAACCTTTCCATTTGTTGATTCTTTCTAGGTAGGTTGATACTGAGATAGTCCTATTTACCATGTTAATGTTTTGCCTCCATCCACTAGCCTGAACAGGGTCTGACTCATAGTACCAAGAACTTGAATGAATATTAAATAAATGGGTCAGATCCTGGCCTCGTCCCAGTGTTTTGGGGAAGAGAGATGACACACAGCTGGGAGAAGGATCAAGGTTGTGATTAAGAGAAGTAGAGAAGGAGGAGGAGGAAGAGAAGGACTCTGAGGGTGAGAGGTTTCCTAGTTGTATTTGAGTTAGGCCTTGAAAAGTCAAGAAGACTGGGTAAGCAGTATTACATGGGTAATAAGGCTTATTAGGGCATGGGAAATACTTTGGCCATAGCTTGATTTTAAAGGCTTGGGGGTGTGTGGGGGGGCGGGGGTGGCACCTGGGTGGCTGCCAACTCTTGATTTCAGTTCAGGTCATGATATCAGGGTCCTGAGCATCCTGCTCTGCGCTCAGCAGGGAGCCTGCTTGAGGATTCTCTCTCCCTCTCCTTCTGCCCCTCCCGTTGTTCAAGCTCCCTCTCTCTTAAGTAGATAAATACAACTTAAAAAAAAAAGATTAATTAATTAATTAATTTGAGAGCATGAGCTGGGGTAAGGGCAGAGGGAGAGGGACAAGCAAGCTCTCCACTGAGCAGGGAGCCCAATGTGGATCTCAATTCCAGGACCCTGAGATCATGACCTGAGCCGAAGGCAGACACTCAACCAACTGAGCCACCCAGATGCCCCATGATAAATACATCTTTAAAAAAAAAAAAAAAAAAAAAAAAAGTCTGAGGGAGCAAGTGTAGATAGATGAATTGGAAAGGTAGAGAAGGGCTTCTGGAAGCAAAGCTTAGCAATAAACAGCTTTGAGGCATTCATTTCATTCAAATCGAGAACTGTTTCAAGTTAGGTATATTCGCTCATTTCATACAGCCACCACATGAAGAAGGAGGTACTCCTCCCAACTCCATTTTACAAATTAGGACACTGAGGGTCTCGGCAGTTACACAGTTTTCCATGTCACACAACTCAAACATGCCAGCTTGGGCATTTGAAGCTGGGTAGTCTAACTGCAGATCCAAGTTCTGAATGACTCCACAAAGATTGGGGAAGAATTCCGTGACTACCTGGTGACCGGCTGCACATAAAGACTACGATGCCCCCTTTTCCCCTTCTGCCTCGCCTCATCGCACTTTCCAGAGAGAAAGTCCGCTAATAGACATCTAAACCAATCAGCACTCAGGAAGGGGGTGGGCCCCAGTGGGCCTCACAGCCAATTGGTGGATGGGAGGTGTCTAAGGACAAATGAGAGATGTTTCTGACAGTAAGGCTGGAATGGGTGGGACTATAACCGGCACCGGTGCCTCGTGCCTGGCAGGAGCCGGAAGTCCTGGGAGCAGGAAGCCAGAGGGAGTGGGAGGGCACACGCATGCGTGTTGTACACAGGCGGCCCAGCGTGAGGCTCCGAAGAGACCCCAGTACGTCGTGAGCTAGGGTTACCGCGGAAAAGAAGCCACTGCACCCCACAGCCACGTGGAGTAGGTGGGGGGCAGGGTTCGTTGGTCCAGGAGAAGGTGAGATGCTCCACGCCCTGCCCCCACCAACCGTACCCTCCCTCCCTAACCTCAACTGCCCACCCTTGCCTCGTCTCCTACCCTAGGCCACCTCGCTGGCCCTGTGACTAGGCCCCATGTCCTGGTAGCTCCGCCGTTGCCCTTTCTGCTTTCCCCATGTCTTCTCAGCCTCTCAGCTTCTTTTCTGCTATTTATCTCTTCTGCCTTTCTCCCTCTGCCATCTCTTTCTGCATTCTCCAGTACCTTCTCTATCCTTGGATTTTTCCTCTGTCCACAATCCCTTACTGGTTCAGCAGATACCTGTGGTCTCATGATCCCATCCCCACCCCCCCATCTTTTAGCTATTTCGTTATGTCCCGGCACTCTGTAACCCTCTCTATTCCCTGACATCCATAGCCAAGGATCTTCCCATTCACCGCGACTCCCTTGACCCCACCCGACCTCTCTGACTCCTTCCCTGACCAAACCTTTGCCAGTCGCTCCCTCCCCACTACCTTACTCCCATCTCATCTCTGTAAGTAGTATTTCCACCTCACCCCAAACCATCTCTTCTTCTCACCATTCACTTTTAGTTCCTGATTACCTGTATACCGATGACCATCCTAGCTTTTTCTTCCAGGACACAATGGACCCCCGGGGGCCAGCCCCCCAGCCTTTCCAGCGGCCTGAGAAACCTGGTCGTGTGCGCCGTCGGAAGACCAGGCGGCAGCGCAATGAGGCCCTGATGGGCAACCGCCGGCCATTGACCCGTCAGGATCCTCCTGTGGCCAGTCAGGATCTCTCTGTGGCCCCTACCGCTCCCAAGCTTGTGGTCATAACCCAGGGCCGGCTGAGCCGGGAGCACCGGGGTCTCTTCAACCATGAAGTGAAATCTCTGGACGTGGCACGGCTGCTTAGCTGTGAATCCCTGGAGCCAGGCACCCCTTCATTCCCCACCAAACCCTCCCCAAGCCCAAGCCGGGCCCAAGAACCGGCCCTGCAGTCAAGGGGCAAGGAGAACCAGGTTCCTAGAGGCTCGGGCCCAGGCCCACCCAGTCCCCCAGAGATCCCTGGCTTGGGACAGCTGCTGGAGGAGCTGCAGTGCCAGCTGATTCTGCCACAGGCCTTCCCCAGGAGGAACCTAGTGCAAGAAGCCAGGGATGCCATCGTGGGCACCTTACAGTCCTGCCATGGCTGTGTGCCTGACCTCACCCTGGTGCTCCATGACTTCCGGCCATCCTTACCAGGTGAGCCTACCTCCTGCTCCCTGTATTCCCCTTCCCCTGTCTGCTCTAGCTCAGCTATCCCCCATGCTTTTTCCCTTTGTGCCAGGGACCAAGCTTGGAGGCCCTGAAAGCCAAAGGATGACACCCTCCTGGATCAGCAGCCCTGAGCAGGCCCTAAGGGAGGGGAGGCAGAGGAGGCAACGGAGGACAAAGGAGCTTACCTTTGCTATTTCTCACACCTCCAGCACTCCCATGGTGCACAGGGTGAGCCTGGCACCGCCGAAAGGTCCCTGGCCACCACCCTTGCCCTTGTTGCCTTCACCATCCGGGGCAGCCTGGGGCCCCCCAACAGCCTTTGACCTGCTGAAAAGCATCTGGCTCGTAGCCACACCGCCCCCTCCCCGGCCCTGGGGGGTCGGGCCGCAACAACCCCTGCTTCAGCCACCATCACCCTTGTTGCCTGGAACCTCTGCCCTGGACTGGAGCCCCAGCCCTCCTGCCCCACTGCCCAGCCTCTCCTGGGTAGTGGCCCAGAGCAGCCCAGAGGCCTGGTCCTTTCCACCCATGAGACTGTACTGATGGGGCTGAGGCTGGGCCAGGGGTACTCCTAATCATCTTAATAAAGTACCTTCTACATGGTCCTCTTGATTTTCAGTGAGTAGCTGACCAAGGATAGCAGTTTTGCTTTGCTCTGAGTTCTGGGTCCAAGATGGAGGGGAAGATGCCATCACTTATCACCTTCCTAGGGTTTGAGGGGCCAGAGAGCTGGGGAAACCTGGGGCTTTAGTCAGTTCCACACATTCACCCAGCGAAGCCAACTGTATGCCAGGAGTGTAAGGAAGGAGTGATGATTCTGCCCCGGTGATGAGGGAATTGTTCAGAAGGGAGCAGACCTAGACCTTTACAAGTCTTAAGATGAGTAAAAACTTACTAGTAGTGGAGGAAAAGAACATTTCAGGCAATACTAGGAACGCTGTTCTGTGGGACAGTATGTGCATGTAGTCCATATTCCTAGGCTGTCCTGGGACCTAGAGTGAGTCACGTCCAGGCCCTGCTGTTGATGGGCTCCTGGTCCGGCAGGCACAGGGACTGTGTTTGCAGGATCATGACAGGAGAGGGAGAAGAGGCCTGAACCTGCCCCCCAGACTTTTTACTTTGGCCCAAGATACATTTTACATTTTTTAATTAATTGCCTACTATTACAAACCAGTTTGCTTTAAAACAAAAGCAAAACCAAAAAAGCCCAACACATTTCTGGCTTCACTGGGGTAAAAAAAAAAAAAAAAAAAGGAAAAAAAGAAAGAAAAGCTCTGGCAGCAGATCTACTATCCCTTCTGGCAACAACTGGCTCAAACCGAGGAGCCGAGGCCGCCTGTTCATGGGGCTTACACCGAAGTGTTTCATGCCCTTATGTTTCCTGCCTGGCCCCTGGCTTAGAAAGTTTCATAAAATGATATTTTGAGGAGCAGCACATTTTTTGCAGAGGAGGGGGAGGAACGAAGCTAGAAATGTTTGCTGGAATCTGATCAGGAAAAGGAAGCTGAGGGACTTGGATGCTACTCTGTAAAGCCTTTCCAGGGATCCCATTGCCCACTGGGAAACCATAAGGTTGGAACCAGCTGGTAGGAGACTGAACTGGGAGATTACAGGACTTGGCTGAGGTCTAATGAGAAAGTGGCAATGTTGGGTTTTGAACTCAGGCAGTTGATTTCAGTCCTCTCTGGGCTTCTCACAACACCACCTCTTCTGAGAGGCAGTGAGCAGGTTTCACACCCTGATGAGCTGTGACTGGACAGGGTCAGGCAATGGAGTGTAGTGGTTGTGGCCCAGGGTTGTGCCATCTCTGTCTTTTGTGACCCAGAACAAGTGGTTTGCCCTCTCCCGCCTCTTATGTCTCTTTGGGCACTTCACGGAGCCCATGGGATCTTGGGAGGACACAGATGGGGATGGCTGTCATGCCAGCGGGGATGAGCAAAGAGGCGTTTGGGGACTAAATTCGGGGGAGGTCAGGACAGAGTTGGGGTCTGTGGGTTGGGGGTCATCCCAAGATGGCAGTCTAGAGGAGGAGGAAGGGCTTGGGGGAATGGGAGTTCAGTGTAGGACACGGGGAGCCAGAGGTGTCAGGGACACTCCCAGAGGGGAGGCTGGGGCGGGGTTGAGAGGCTAGGAAAGGAGCGCCCTCTCTAACACCGATTGAGAAGGCGCCAGACCAGGGCACCCCGGCGTAGGGGGCGGGGAGCGTGGCGCCCGGCGGCCCCTTTAATCGGGGGCGCGCGCTGGCCGGTCCGCGCGCTCTCGCCGCCGTCGCCGGCCCGGAGCGGAGCGGAGCGGGAGCCGGAGCGGAGCTGGGGCCGGTGCCGGGGCCCGTAGCGGGCGGAATGGAGCCCCCGCGCGCGCCCGCTATGCGCCGCCTGCTGCCGCCGCTGCTGCTCCTGCTGCTGCCATTGCCCCCCCGCGCCCGGGCCAAGTACGTGCGGGGCAACCTCAGTTCCAAGGAGGTGAGCGCGCTGGGCCCTCCCATGCCATCCGCCGGGCCCCCGGGGACTGGAGGGAAGGGAGGGAGGAGGGTGCCGTCCGCCCCCTGCCGCCCGTCCCCGGCAGTCCCTGGGAGCCCCCGGGGGAATGGGGCTGGTGTTGGGGGGGGGGGGGGAGGACTGGGTCAGTGATGAGGCTGAGAGGGGCTGTGGGGTCGAGAAGAGACTTAGGGGTTATAGGAGGGACATTGAGGTCAGAGCTGGGCGGGGAGGAGGGACGGGTTGGGAGAGTCAGAGTTTGGGGTGGGGGGGGAACGCCGAGGTGGTGCTGAAGGGACAGCACTTTTCACTCGGCGGAGAGCCTTGAGTTCACACTTCTGCTCAGGGTCTGGAGAGGGCCGTTTGGAATATTCCCCAGGACAAGATGGTCTCTGGGACCCCCGTGAGGGGGGGGACATGTGTGTGCATAACTCCCGGAGGGGGGGATGGCAGTCAGATGGTGTCTGGGACTGAACGTGGCTGGGGTGGGTATCTTGCCCCCCAGGGTCTTTCTCAGGGCACTGGGAAAATAGGAGAAGTGTTTTGAGGGGACAAAATAACTTGGGGTGGGGAGGCACCTGAGGCAAGAATCCTGGACACAAAAGGCAAAGGGATCACAGAAGAATTTGGGAGGTAACCTGGTCCCGTTAATGCTTCTTGGGAAATCAGGTACCCAAGGGTAGGGAAGGAAAGTTGGGGGCCCGTGGAGTGAAGGAGAGTTCTCAGAGGACTCAGCAGGACTGGGCCCCTTTTCCAGGACTGGCTCTTCCTGACAAGATTTTGCTTTCTTTCGGATTACGGCCGACTGGACTTCCGCTTCCGATACCCTGAGGTGAGCCTTCCCTGACTAGTCTCCTTGCTGAGGCTGGAGACTCCCTCTGTCTCCCAAGGCAAGGTCCATCCCAGCTCCCCGGACTCCCCCAAACTTGTAAATCTCTGGGTCTGCAGGCCAAGTGCTGTCAGAACATCCTCCTCTATTTCGATGACCCATCCCAGTGGCCAGCTGTGTACAAGGCAGGGGACAAGGTGAAGGCCGTGAGGGCATATGGGGGGGGAGGAGGGAAGGTTGAGGCTGGTTAGGAGGTGACCATGTCCTTGCCTTCTCCAGGACTGCCTGGCCAAGGAGTCTGTGATCAGGCCCGAGAACAACCAGGTCATCAACCTCACCACTCAGTACGCCTGGTCAGGCTGTCAGGTATAGGCCCAGTCTGGGGGAGTGGGCAGGTGCTGAAGGCCGAGGGCTTGGGGGCTGCACAGAGAGGCTTCACCCTTCTTTCCCTTCCTCAGGTAGTGTCAGAGGAGGGAACCCGTTACCTGAGCTGCTCCAGCGGCCGAAGCTTCCGCTCCGTGCGCGAAAGGTGGTGGTACATCGCACTCAGCAAGTGTGGGGTAAGGGGCCGGGATGGCCACCTGGGCCGCCTCCTCCTTGACTTGCTGTTGGCCCCCTGGCTGCCCAGGCCCCCCTACCTGCTCAGGCCTCCACACTCTCCACAGGGAGATGGGCTGCAGCTGGAGTATGAGATGGTCCTCACCAATGGCAAGTCCTTCTGGACACGGCATTTCTCGGCCGATGAGTTTGGTGAGCATATGGGGACCAGGAAGCCAGGATCTTTGTGGGACTCTAGAGTGGGGTGCCTGCTGACACCCAGTCTGACTGAACCCTTTCCTCCTTCTACCAAATCGGCAGGGATCCTGGAGACAGATGTGACTTTCCTTCTCATCTTCATCCTCATCTTCTTCCTCTCCTGTTACTTTGGATGTGAGTCCAGCACTTGGTGGGAGTGGTGGGAGGTTGGGAGTTATGGGGGGGGAAGGGTTGGGGGAGGTGGGCTACTCTCCTTTCCTGTCTGTGAACCCCCTTCCCCTACCTTTTCTAGATTTGCTGAAGGGTCGTCAGTTGCTCCATACAACTTATAAAATGTTCATGGCGGCAGCCGGAGTGGAGGGTGAGGTTTAGAGTAGCCCAGCTTTGAGTGCTGTCAGAGGAGGGACCTAGGGTCCAGATACCTGGGTCTGAGAGAGGAGGGACTGGGGGCCTGGATCCTGGGTTTGAGGGAAGAGGGGCTGGGGCCTGGACTCCTAGGTCTGAAGGAAGAGGGTTTGGGGGCTTGGACCCCTGGGTCTGAGGGAGGAGAGGGCTGGGGCCCTGGACTCCTGGATCTGGAGGAGGAGGTGGCTATGGGCCTGAACATCTGGGTCCTGGTGACAAGGGGCTGGGCCCTGGACTCCAGAGTCTCCTAGGACATCAGTGGGAAGGAATGGTCTAGAATCCTGATGGGGACGAAGGAGGGATTCTGCCCGTCTAGATCATAGAACTAGGGAACAGCGATGCCCCAATGCCAGTTTTTGTTCTTTCCTCCCTCTGCCCATTCTCCCCTCAGTCCTGAGCCTCCTGTTTTTCTGCATCTACTGGGGCCAGTATGCCACCGATGGCATTGGCAATGAGAGTCTGAAGATCTTGGGTGAGAATGAAGTGGGCTGGGGAAGGGTGCCCGGGCTCTCTCTGAGCCCTGTGTCTGACACACCCTCTCCTCCCTCCTCCCAGCCAAGCTGCTCTTCTCCTCCAGCTTCCTCATCTTCCTGCTGATGCTCATCCTTCTGGGGAAGGGATTCACGGTGACACGGTGCCCAGGCTGGGGCGGGAGGGAGTGCTGGGGGGAGGTGTGGCTGGGCTAGGGAACAGGGCACACGGGTGGATCTGGGGGGTGGCTGCTCGCTTCTCCCTGACAGCCCCCACCCCTGCTGTCTCCCCTCATGGCCGGCCGCCAGGGGCCGCATCAGCCATTCGGGTTCCGTGAAGTTGTCTGTCTACATGACCCTGTACACCCTTACCCACGTGGTGCTGCTCATCTATGAGGCTGAGGTGAGTGCCTCCCGCCACTGCCCAGGCCTTGCCTCCCCACCACACACCCCACCCAAGACTTTTGGCCACCTCCTCCACTGGTCTGCCAGCCCTTCCCCACATCGCACTCTTGCTGGCTCGCTCTCTCCCACTCTGCGATTTCTGCCTGCCCATCTGTCTCTCTGAGTGCCTGCCTCCCCTCTTCACCATCTCTGTGGAGCCTTCTTCCTCC